CACCTCAAGCAAACGCTTCGCCGGGAATGGGCCAAAATACCGCAGAGCAACATTCGGGCAGCGTGTGACGGTTTCATTGGCCGTTTGAAGGCCATAATTCGTGCCAAAGGTAGCCAATTCGAATAAATCTTAACTTATTCTAAAATTTGATGCTATTTCCGACATTGTTCAATGAAATTAAAAAAAAAAAATTAAAAATTATGGTGTTTAACTTTGTTGTATTTTTTATCTCACCCTGTAAACACATATTTTTCTCTCCTATTTCTTCTTTTGCTTGCAAGTTCATAGTGAAGGCTGTCAAAATTGCAAATGTTCGAAACTATTTCTTTTATTTAGGACTACCTGTGTTTTTGAGGTCTTCTTTGCTTGCACGAAAAACCAAATTTTTCACTGGCCGCTCAATTTAATCATTTCTTTTTTCGTATTGACATGTGTGTATAATATTTTGGGTGCAATTCCATGCCAAGCAGAATGCTTGCGTAACCTCATTAAAAAACGAAAAATAGTTCTACATTTCAAAAAACAAAAACTTAACTATTACATGCAACAAAAATGTCATGCATGAGCATACAAATAGCTTAATATGGTCATGGTTAATTTGAGAAAAGGTGTGTTTTTCGAATCGTCCCGCCGATTTCGCGTGCCATGACTCGTATAATCGAAACAATAGATAGACAAATGTACTCAACATCTACTTATACTTACACTTATTGATTTCGCTTGTAATGACAGACGGCATGACATTAGTAAAAAGATTACAATCAATAAAAGCTTGGGCACCCATCCCTTGGTCTATTAAAGAAATGACACAATATTAGTCAAAAAGGACGTCGTCAACGTAAGAAACAATAAAAATGTATGAGGGTCTTGTCGCTATTTAGATAAGTACTATTATTATAATTGATTCCACTTCCAATTGCCGGTATCAAGGTGTGTGTGTGCGTGTATGTGTATTAATCCCCAATTGTGTACGGTGTGTAGGTGTATGTGCAGGTGTCATCGTGTATGTTGTTTTGAGGGTTTCCAGGATTTTGAAAATACACACAAAATGTATCCTTGACGGTACATATTTAAAAATGTATCACTAACCAAGAAATTTGTTAGATCGAACGAAACTGTAGGAAAATATCTACAACTTTTACCAATGCCATTCAAAATATTTCTATTGTAAATCGAAAATATTATTATTTTTAAATTAATTAATTATATTCAAATAATATAATTTACAGTTCGATTCTTCCACTTTTAATTTGAACTATTCGATTTGAAACTCAAACAAAATATTATTACATTTCTATGCATTCGGTTCGTATTTGGCTCTTCAAATTACAAATAATTATATCTCTAATTACAAATGAGAGTATTTGAATTTAAAATGGATCATTCAAAGAAATAGCTAGATTTTTTGTAATTATACCCTACATCACAAGGTGGTCAGAGTATTATGTCTTTGTGCATTTGTTTGTAACAGGCAAAAGGAAACGAAATAGATCGATAGTTCCTTTTGATGATCTGCATAGAATCACATTCTGAGTCGTCCATGTATTTTTGTAAACAAAGTACAGGTTGCATTTATTGTCCGATTCAGATGAAATTTTGCACAAGTAATTTGTTTGACCCAAGGACGAACCCTATTGAAATTGGAAAAAATCGGTCAAAATTTAGGTATAGCTACCATATAAATTTTCGTCCAATTTGCTTTATATTGTGCACCAAACTTGTAATATTAGCCCAAATAGTACGACCAGATTGGACCTAAATATAAGTAAGTCAAATTTGACCGAAATTGGTTCAGATATAGATGTAGCTCCCATATATATTGTTCATCCGATTTGTAATTTTTGTCCTCCGCAGCCGTAGTATGCACTCAAAATATAACAAATATATAACTCAGAAATACCCTTGCTAAATTTTATAGAGATAGGTTAATATTTGGATACAGCTCCCATATATATCTTCGTTCGATTTGCTTTTTCTGTGCACCAAACGTGTAATACTAGCCCAAATTGAGTCTAGAAACAAGTATGTCAAATTTGGTGGAAATCGGTTCATATATAGCTACAGTTCCATATATATTGTTCATCCGATTTGTTGAATTTTCCCTGCATAGCCATAATATGGACTCCGTAGTAACGATATTCGGGGAAATATATCAAATACAGCTCAAAATTACCTTTGCCAAATTTTATTGGGATTTCATGTTAATTGTGCACCAAACGTATAATACAAGCCCGAATTGAAAAGGGGAAAATGCCTCGACAAATTTAGTAGAAATCGATTCATAGGAGGATATTCCTCCCATACATTCGTTCCTTTGGACTTTCAATTATTACTATAATCATAGTTAGTATGATTTAATTCTCACAAATTCCCCATTAAAACTTATTTGTTATGTGAAGCTCTACTAAATATACAAAATGGTGTAGGGTATTATAAATTCGGCAGCGCCCGACGTTAAAACTTTCTTTACTGTTTTTTATAATTTCTAGGTGTTTTGGAATTTCGACGTGTAAAAATGGTTTAAAAATGTATCCATATATGTCAAAGTTCCGGTTTTCATATATTACGTTTATTCTCTATTCGATGAACAAATTCTCCAAATTTGATACCTTTATGTTCATCAGTTAGGAAAAAATAAAAATATCACAAAACTCCCAATTGGGCCACACTGTGAGGTGGCAACACTATCGTATTAATTAGTAGCTGGTATAATAATTTCGGTTATGTTAATAAAATGTGTGTTTATTTGCTAGTGCCCAAGAATTTATTTTGTCCACATTCCAAGCGTTGAAATAAAAACATAGAATTCAATTCCACCATGACCATGACCACATGGTCAGAGGCGTCCTAATTTATTAAGCTTATTACGGATATAATTAATTTACCTTTTAATGTGAAATTCAACGTAGTCTTTATGAGCTTGACGTGAACAGTAATACCAAGTATTTCTGGATTCATATGTAATTGCGGAATATTTCCAATTACTAATCCCTGATGCTTAAACTCTGTTAATTAAGACCTACTAATGAGATAACTGGTAAACAAGTCCAATTGTTTACTATAAAAATGTTTCACTGTGCACAAATTTATGAATACCCCACACGAGAATGGACAACAAAAAATAAACCATAAGAAATATCTAAGTTCAACCACCTCTACTATGGAATATTAAATCAGGAGGTAAATAACAATGTATAATTAAACAATATAACCACAGTCTTAGCAATGAAAGACATTCCTCCTAATATAATTATTTAATAATGTTGCACATGTGACAAGTCCCATTTCAATGGAATTTCTCTCAAAAATTAGCTTAATTGTTTAATTGAATAAATTTAATTAGAATTTATATCGAATGTAGGCAATCAAATAAAATACAGACTATAATGACATTTATTACGTTTAAAACATATTTTATACGAAATGGAGAATCTATTCTTTGATACGAAATTTCGAAACCATTCAGGGGTTTCTAATTATTTTATTTTAGAATGTGTTATTTTTTATATCCGAGTAAGATGGCCACATCTAAGATCAACATTGATATTAGGTTTATACATATATTCTTATGCAGTGAGAAATTATGAAACATTCTTACTTGTCGATTTATAGGTTACTTTCATTATTCAGAAGAATTCGAATGAAACACTTTGAAACACAGAGTGTAAAACAGTGTAACATCCATAAATGTAATATATGTGATCAGATCCCGAATTGAACAACAACATTTTTGAATAATGCATTAATTGAACAATATTTTACAAATAGCAATTGAATTCACAACTGCATTTACAAACTATAATATCTCAAATCTGCATACAATTTTAAATCGGTTTAGTCATGCTCGCTCTCATGTAAATTCGAATGTTATAATACCTCCGGCAATAAATAATAATAATTGGAAATGGGTGACCGAAATTGATCACATTGTTCTGGCAAAACCAGTAAAAAATGGCTAAAAGGAAGTCTATAACCCTTTGCATATTTATTAGAGCTTCATATAACAATATATATATCTATATATATAAAGAAAGTTGTGTTAGTTACTACGCTTATAACTTAAGAACCGCTGGACTGATTTTAACGATTCATACAAATTCGGAATTGTCTCCTCTCCGAAAAGGATAATATCCAAAAAAATCGCGTAAAAATGTGATATATTAACATTTTCATTTTGACTTTTGAAATGTACAATAGTAATGTTTTATTTTGTATGATTTTTTTCCATTTTGACTTACTTTTTTCTAATGTACATTTGTAGTGTTTTTTATATTTTATTTTTGAATTCAAATATTAATACCTATTTATTTAATTGACTTGATTTCTTGAGAAATGAAATTGATGGCGAGTTACATGGAAGTGTAGTACCGAATTATGTGGTGGGAAACGGAATAGATGATGTCGAAATAATTTAATGGAATCGAATTTTAAAATAGAAGTACATTCTATTGACAAACTATATAAGGATCTTTAAATATTTGCTGTAAAAAATCAGCGAACAAATTGAAGATTTTTTCAATGTGTTATTCTTCTTTTGTCAATTTTTTTTCAATTTGTATTATCTAATCGAATTCAGTAAATTTTTTGTGAACAAAATAAAGAATAATTTTTCACTATATACAAATTTTCAGCAAAAAATGAAATAAGTGGGAAATACGATGTTAACTGACTCCTTTCTGACTACCTTTCAACTCCAGGGCCGACATCGTGGTTCAGCTGGAAGATTCGAACACATTTGAACAAACAAAAATTACGGAAAAGCCTAATGGGGCTCATTTCAAAGCGTGGAACTACACTGAGGGAAAAATCCCGTTGCGAAATCAAGCACGTATGTTGTCATTTTCGCAACGACCCGTTGTTATATTTTTCAACAACGGCTGTTGGTGAATTGTGCACGAACGTGCTCAAATTGACACCGAGACGTAGTCAACTTTCGGTACCAACAACAGCCGTGCTTAATTGTCCACCGATGTGCTCAAAATGACAACTTTGGGTTTTAATATTGGTAATTGCAGCCGATTACACACGAGTAAAAAATGACAACGGTGGTGCATGATTCACACACGGTCGTTGTCAATATGACACCGGTCGTGTATGAATTATGCACCACCACCTGCATAATGATGCACCACCGTTGTTACTTTGTACACCGACGTGCATGAATCGTACACGATCGTTGCCATTTTAGCAACTACCGTGTATGAATCATGCACCACCGTTGTCATTTTTTTTACTCGTGTGCAATCGGCTGCATATTTACCATTTTTTCCGTGTTATTGAAAGAGAAAGGACGCATTGTGCAAAAAATTTATTGAAAATGAATAATAATTCGCAAGATCCTCAAAATATCATTGGTGAGTTGTTAGAAATCGATGGCAATATTGTTGTGGTTCGCGATACAAACCATTGCAGCAGTCAAGATGCGGAAAACAATGAGGACGATTATATGTTAAGGGAGTTCTTAAAAGGAATAAATATGGAGTCGCTTTTTGAACAATTAAAAGGTAAGTAAATAAAAATGAATTTTTCAGTTAATCAGTGTAATTAACAAAGAATTTTCTTTTTTGTTCTTTTAGCATCACATGTAACATTTCGCAGTTTGCAGTACTTGAAAAAAGAAGATTTAAAGGAAGCAGTGCCACCATTGGGACTGCGAGTTGAATTCAGAGAAAAGCTCTTTGCTTGGAAAAAAACGAAAGGTACGTATTATTTGTTTTACAGTGTTGAACTCAGTATTAATATTGTCATAACAATAGCTCGGGATTGATGACGAAACTATGTCAGTTCCATCTAAAATAGGTGAATGGTGGAAACGCAACGAGACACCTGCAAGTACTCCTGGTACTCCCGACACTACAGGTTCGAACTGCTCAAAAGCCAAAGGAATTTTGTCAGAGGTAAGGTAAGAGTAATATTTGTGTAAGCATAGTTAATGTAGTTTTTTTATTTAATATAGGATCTAACGGAATTGTTAACACATACCTCGAAGGGGAAACTAGCGCTTGAATGTAGTAGCGTTAATAAGAAATTAAGTGACGAGCAAAGAGATGATATAATTAATATAATTATTGAAGATATTTTAACCAACAATGTTACTCTTTACACTCAAGACTATATGCGCATATTGGATGAAATTTGTTCCGTTTTTCCTCTTGAAAACGAAATGAGGGTAAGATTAACAACGACAACAATATAAACAACGTATCTGATTATGTAGTTTCTTAACTTATAATATGTCTTTATTTTTAGGATTATTATTACATTTCAAGAAAAGGAAAGAACAACGCAAGCGGAAAACTTTATGCCAAGTATAGAAACAAGAAGTCCAAAAGAATAAAGCTTTTGATTTCCGAGCCTAGCACAAGCAAAGCAGCAACTCACTCATCTCCTAATTTTTGTAACAAAGATGTTCCCGAAATTGATGAATCAGTTGAAAATTCATTGAAAGCTTCCTTACTAAGAGAATGTAATGATTGGGGATCGATCTGCGAAAAATGGAAAAGATCTTTTAACATACGGCAAAGAGATATAAAAAATTTAAGTAGCCATACATTTCTCCTAGAATGGACGAAGTTGTCCGATGCAAGAGCTTCAGAATTGGTAAGTAGCCATGAGCTATTTATTTGTATATGGATACTAATGTTTCGTTTTAGGTCAACATTGATTTCGATATTATGTATCCACAGAAAGGCAATCTTCTACTTTCTAAATGGGACCAATTTAAGAAAAAAATTTACAATTATTATGGGAAAAATATTCATAACGAACATTGCAAACAACTCTTCGCAAATGTTATATAACATTATATGTTTATATAACATTATACGGTTCGTTAAAACCGAAACACCACTTTCTTGTCCACTATCCCACTGCTATCCGAAAATGTGGTCCCCTTAAATATCTCTGGAGCATGAGATTCGAAGCTAAACACAAGGAAGCAAAAGCCTATTTAGGAAATACTACATCAAGAGTAAATCCCTGTCGTTCATTATCTATTAAGTCTGGATTGAAATTTTCCAATTTTTTATTAAAACACGAAGATAACTTAGAACCAAATGTTATCATTAATACGCATACCATCGAAGATTTGGCAAAAGAGGAATATTGTTACAAAAAACGTAAGCCAGTTTTAAATTACCAAAATTGCAAAGTGTCTGATGACATTTTTTTTAAGGGAACTAGGTATAAAAAAAACTATTATTTAGCAACAAATAATGCCGCAATTGAACTTTTCAAAATTAAACATTTAATAATTGAAAATGAAAATGTTTACATTTTATGTAACCAAGTAAAAGTTAAAAACTTTGATTATCATTTACAATCGTATGAAGTTGGTTCTCTGAATGAGGATACAATTTTTTTAATACCAATTTTAGATTTTATTACTTACCCATTTCACTTATATCCTATGAATAATGGAAAAGTTTATTTCAGATTTAAGTTAATTTAATTTGTTTCTATACATTGAATATATGTAATTCGAATTGTTTTGTTAAATCAAATATGTATTTATATTGAATTTATGTAATTGGTTTCGTTCAATAAAATACTTTTCAAAAAATTTCGTTTCTTCTACTAAGGGTATAAAATGGAAAAGGAACGGATATCAAAAAATGACCACCATTGATTTCAATCTGACAACGGGCGTTGACAATCCGACAACGGAGCGTTGACAATCTGACAACGAAGCGTTGACGATCTGACAACGAAGCGTTGACAATCTGACAACGGGGCGTGCTCGAAATGACCACGTATGTGCTCATTTCATGCACATCTGTTGTTGAAATCGTTGCCAAAATCTCGGTGTCAAAATGACAACGGCGTGCTCATTTTGACACCAAACGTGGTTGATACACTATCATACACGGATGTGGTCATTTCATACACGGATGTTGTCATTTTTTCTCTGGGTGTACTTATTTCCTGTCACAATAATCCGTCCAATGTACATTCAGAAAAATACCAAATATAAAGGGTGGAAAATAGTAGAGCGAATGGGACTCTTAGCAAGAAAAGGATTTCTATTCTTCCAGAAATTCTTCCCAAACATTCAAGATACCTTAAACCGCTTTTGCAGGTCATGATATCGATCATAACTCACGGATAAGGGTACAACCCGATTTCATATTTATATAACCATCGTATGATTTAGGCTATTTTTGGTGTCTTGGTCACTTTTTAAATATTTTGGCCATTATTTGGCATCTTTGTTTCTAAGGAGGTAGAGAACCTCTTCGCATAATATTTTTAATTTTCAGAGTAGGGTCCATTTTGGTCTTGACCACATTCATTAATTGATTTGGCTAAAAATTGTATTAATGCTACCCTGGGGTAGGGAGCCATCATACAGATAATTGCCACATAGGAATTTATTTAAGTAAAGTCCCCACATTGGAGTACCCCCAAGTCCACTTTCACATCTAATTGGTGGTCAGAAAAGAAATTTTTGTTTTCTATTGAATTTGTAACCCCCAAGAGAATATTGGTTGGGCCACGTTTTGGTATAACCCTTATATAAATGTATCCCTGATTTCAGGATGCTCATTATTTGCTGTATTTAGGCTACTTTGTGAGCAGAGAACCATCTTACAGAAAAATTTCAACATACGTAAATATTTTGGTACAGTCCCCATATAGTCCCCAGGATCGCCAATTTATAGTGATGTTTACCAATTGGCGGACAACAACGCTGGTATTGTTTAATCGTCATTGAATTTTACTATGAACAAGAACATAGACTTTTTGGGACTCTAATGCGCACTTGAGGTGCTATGGTAATGGGTGTAAAAGCGTAATTAACTTTGACTATTCAGAAATTATTTTGCCCTCCTTCCATAGTCATTTATTTCTATTTAGTCGAATCAATATTTATATTAAAATTTTTTCACCTTTATGAGCTAGATTTGTGAAATATTATGCTATGCAAAATTTGCATTAAAGACTAAAACTACGGGCCGGCAACGCGGACCGGGCCAGCTAGTTTAAAATAAACAATATTTAAAAACGATATCAGAAAGAGATCATTTATAAAGAAGTGACTCATGGTGCCTTCAACACTACTTGCATTTGATGCTTTACCGCTCTTTTTGTTTTTGTAAAGAATGTTGAAGTTCTATATTCACAGGTACTTAAAAACACATTTTTCAAAAATCAATTAACACTTTTATTTTTTTATATTCTTTGGGTTCCAAGCCATCGCTGATCAATGAACGCAATTATGAACAAATTAACCTAATTTATGGTGTATATCGCATGGAAAACAACACATACACATACTGACACTGTTTGCATATTATTTTAATATTTCAGAAGTTTTCGTTTGGATGCACCATTATCGTCATTGAAATATCAAAACTAAAAATTATTAAATCAAATTGAATAATTATTATTCCCATATCCATACATTTCTATATGGCCCAATGTGCATTGCTCCATACGATACGCTCGGTGGCATCGTGGAACATTGCAAACAAATAAAAATCAAAAATAAACAAACAAAAGCCGGCAATCACATACATTTATAGGTACATCTAGAAAATATTCAAATGCGTGGTCCGAGACAATTTACCGTGACTCCACACCTACTAATACACACATACCAACACACACGACTTTCACCAGATATGAATCACAAATGAATGCGGTGCTACAATTAGTTTGACACAAAAGAAGTGAAACAATACAGAAGAGAATTAGATGAATGGTATGATTCAGAACGAGTCTCGATGGAAATTCAAGTTGGAATTACTAACAATATAATAGGCAGGTAGATGTGATTTGTAGAGAGAAAAGTGATATTAGAACGCAACAAGGTACATTAAAGTTATGGATCCTCGAGATGTGTGAAACAGATAGGTAATCGAAAAATATTGTAAAATAACACTTACGAATAGCTCGTCATTCATTTTGTTTGCCCTTTTTAGTAACGACTAATTGTATGTTTTTGGAAAATAAAATAATTGAAAAAAAGATCAGCAATTAATTAGTTTATTTCTGTCTCTCTTAATACAAAACATTTGCACACACTCAAATAAGCTTCAACAAAAACTCACTTCTTGGCAGAAAAAAATAATAAAAACAATTTACTTTGTTTAATCCGAATCTCACAAACTGTTGATATCTTACGGCAAATGTGGTCTTACTTGGTCGGCTTCACTGAGCAAACTGAAATTTCAATGCCAAACAAATCAGACCCCAACCACAGCGAGTCAATGTGATCTTAGTATACACACACACACCAACAACAACAAACGTAAAAACGATTTCACCTCGCCACAACGAAACAAAACAAAAAACCCATGTGGAGCACTATGCCGCTCACTCACTTTACGCACACCAGTTCTTGGTAAACGAGAGCCGTAAGCTGGCTAAAATGATGTTGTTTAGGTAGAACCCAGCATGAACCGGTTCTACTATTTTCCCAGGTTTGTGGGAACACACCAGCGTCATAGGCAAGAACAATTAAAAATGTGTCTGCCTACATTCAGTTTCTTATTAGGGTGGATTTTCAAGTGAGATTCTTAATGATGACTTTCAGTTGAGTTTCATTTGTAGCAATGATTAATTATTTTCCAGAAATCTAAGAAAATAGACAGGTATCTATCGGAGATATTTTCTTAAGGCATGTGTATGTATTTTGTTACAATACAAAAAATACGAAAAGAATTGTAAAATGCTAAAGCTAGGAATCTCAGTGAACTCTAGTACATATCTTGAAGTAGGAAACCTTTTTGAGCAGATTTTTAGATTGGTTTAAAATCTTTTGAGAGAAACTGACAAATGTAAAGGATATGTTAGCTACAACTTAATAATTTGAATATAAAATCAGTAAGGAAAAGTCTAAAGTCGGGCGGGGCCAAAAGAATTTATATGTAGTATCATACCACCTATCAGCATTTGTCTTTAGAGCAGTTAAAATTTGGCTTCAGAGGGAACCAATATATGGGAGGCATATCCAATTCTGAATCGATTTTCATTTAATTTGACGGAGAAATTTTTATTTTTATACTAAATAACATAGCAAATAACATGTCGGAGCCGAGTTCCACCAAATGGAAACGTACGTCTCGAAATTCACTCTATTTGGGCTGATAATAGCCATTATTTGCACAATAAACCTGAGTTCGGATTAAGAATGGGTATGGGAGCTATATCCAAATCTAAGTCGATCTCGATACAATTTGGCAAAGGTATTTCCGAGTTCTGTAAGTTATCTGGTACCAAATATCATTGTTGTCGAATGCATATCACGAATGTGAGGGACTTAAAGACCAAATCAGATGAAACATATATATGGGATCTAAATTTATATCTGAATTGATTTTCACCAAATTTGATGCACTTGTTTCTAGACTAAATTCAATTCTGTGTCGGATGCACCAAAATTCAGGTCATTTTGACTGATATTGGCCATTTGGTGCATAGTTAACATGAAATCTGTTAAAGACATATATGTGAGCTATATCCAAATCTGAACAGATCTAGGTAAAATTTGGAAGAGGTATTTCTGGGCAGTATCCGTTATCTGGTACCAAATGCATGCTTGCAGGGGTGCATATTACGAATGTGATATGAAATCGGATGAAACATATATATGGGAGCTACAGCTACAGCTATATCTTAACCGATTTTCACCAAATTTCATGCACTTATTTCTAGGCTAAATTCGGTCGGATGTGCCAAATTTCAGCTTATTTGGACTGATATTGACCATTTAGTGCACAATTAACCGGAAATCGGTTGAAGATATATATCGACGCTATATCAAAATTTGAACCGATTCTCGCCAATTTAAATAGGGTTCGTCCTTGGGCCAATCAAATATTGTTTGAAATTTTTTAAATCAATAGGATAATAAATGCGACCTGCATATTGTTCACACGAATATATGGACAGACGGACTGACATGCATCAACAGCGAAAAGGTTACCTTCATGTATTTTAACTTCTTTTTGTAGAAGATTAATGTAATGCTGAATTACAGATATTTTCTTTGGAAAATTTTTTTTTCAAAATATTTACTAAAATTTCGAACGGAAAATGGGGTGTATGGGACCACGATTTTATATAACCCTTATATAATCGTAATGTCCAATTATAGATATTTCTAAAGTTTTGACCACATTTTCTACAATCTTTTATTTACGTGGGAGCGCTCCTGAGCTACTCCTGTTTGAAAAATTAGAATGGGTGTCGAAATGCTTGAAATGGAGTAAGAGTTTACTCTGTCAGTGAAATATTGTGAAAATATTATTTTGTTAATGTTCTGTGTTCGTATGTGTGTTTACCAATTTTGTGTACTAAAACAGCAAAAGTAATAACACTTCCATATGCTTAGTTTGTTAAGATTAGCGCCAATGCTCATTAACGTATTTGGTTTTCTTTGGTTTGTGGGTTGAGAAAATACGCATACGTAAAAATTCATGAACGGTATGACAAAAACTAAAAGAGTACTC